TTGAAGTCCCCACCCCCTAACTTTTCTGGCTCCCGAGATAACGATTTTTCTTGTCAAAACTTCCAAGGGGACGTTGAAAATTTGCCGAGTTGTACGTGGGAAGCGAATGCCACGCTAGAATTTCAGCTTCCTAGCTTTTGCAGTTCACGAAACAAAAACTTTCACGGGGACATATGTGGTACCCAGGGGTGCGTGTAAGCTGAATTTAAGTTGGTGGGGTCAAGCATTGATAGGGGATATCGCCCCAAAATTTCAGATCTCCAACTTTCGTGGTTCTCGAGATAATAATTTCCCCACCGATATTTTCACGGGGCCGTAAGTGATCCCTGAGCGCGGGAAGGCTGAATTTAAATGTGTGGGGTTGTATGTGGACAGGGCGCGCTACCGCAAAAATTTCAGCTTCCTGGCTTTTATGGTTCCCGGGGTAATAATTTACCCGTCAGAATTTTTACGGGCCGTATGTGTTATTCGCGGGCAGGGGAAGACTGAATTTAAATATAAGGGGTCGCACTTGGGCGGGGGACATGTCCACAGAATTTCAGCCTTCTAGCTTTCGTGGTTCCCGTGATAATAATTTTACCCGTCAAAACTTTTACAGAGCCATGCGGGTTATCCGCGGGCAAGGGAAGGCTGAATTTAAATTTGCGCGGTCACAGATGGATTGGGATCATACCTCTAAATTTTCAGCTTCCTAGCTTTTGTGGTTTCCGAATTAAAAGTTGCGGACAAATTGCTGCGAACAGAGACATTCAAACACGCATAGACAACCCGTGACAATATGCATTTTGTGCAGCAGTTGCACAGCACAAAACGCGTTAAAAAAACAAAAGCAAATTTGGGCGCAGGAGCAGAAGCAAAATCTGAAAGAAAAATGTGAAAAAGCAAAAAAAGTAAAAATATACGGAAAATACTGAGTCTGTGCGACTGGAAATTGTCACACATATATATGTATATATATATATATATATATATGTGTACATATATATATATGTATATATACAGCCCATGAAGCTCATGCCTAGTTAAAGCTGAAAGCAAATAAAATGAAGCTGCAGGCAAAACTGGGAACTCATAGCTTTACCTAAGAATCAGCTCATAAATAGGGAAGCCAACTGCTGCAGAAGGGCTTTTGTAAGGCAATTTCCATTCAAAACTTTTTGCTTTTGCTAAGAATTTGTTTTTTGCTTTACTTTCTCAGTTTTTATTTGCTTTTACTTTCTTTAATTTTTTTGCGTCCTGTGCGGTGCAGCACCTGCACAAAACGCATATTGTCACGGGGTTGTCTCTGCGTATGTGTCTTCTGATGCATCTTGTCCGCAACTTTCAACTCGGGTTCAATTCGGGAACCACAAAAGTTAGGGAGCTGAAATTTTATGGGTATGTCCACTGCCCACGTGCGACCCAGGAAATTAAAATTCAACTTTCCCCTGCTCTTGGGTATCATATACGGCCCCGTGAAAGTTTTGGCAGGAAAAATTATTATCTCGGGAACCACTGAAGCTAGGAAGCTGAATTCCTGTGCCAGTGTCCCCTGTCCACTAATGTCCCGCACGACTGTGTATTATTTACCGCCTCGTGAAAATTTTGGCGGAAAAAATTGTCTCGAAAGCAACTAAACTTGGCAACCTGAAAAAACTTGGATAAGTACGACTTTGCAAATTTAAATTCAGCCTTCCCTCCCATCCGTGTATCACGTACTGCCCGATGAAAATTTTGGCGGGAGTGTTATTACATGGGAAACACGAAAGCTAGGAAGCTGAAATTTTAAAGTAGAGTCCGCTATCCATATGCGACCTCACAAATTCAAATTCACTTTTTACGTACGTCTCGTTTCAATGTCCCCGCTAGAGTTGTGGTGGAAAAAATTATTACTAGGAAGCTAGAAGAGGCAGGAGGCTGAAAATCCCAGGAGGATGTTTTCTGTCTATGCAGTGGCCTTACAGTCTCAAATTTAGTTCGCAAGCGTGCGACCGCGTGAAAGTTTCGGCGCGGAAATCACTTGAAAGCAAGGAAATTAGGAGATTGGTTTTGGAAGGATGTTCTTTCGAATTCAGCTTTCGCCGATGTGTGAAACTTTCAGGAGGAAACTTCGCAACTTAGAAACCAGACATTTCAGCTTTTTTTTTTGCGCAGAACAAAGTGTAAAGCGATGAAAATTCGTAGCAGGCAAACGTTCGCTGGACGGAACTGCGCAGAATGCACGATCCCAACGGCTATCCTGGTGCGCGCCGCTATTTATGATTCGTAAGTTCCAATTCGTTGCTTTCGCCTTTCTTTGGTTTTTATGCATTTTTTGATATATGCAAATACAAAAATGCATACAGGCAAGAAGCTGTCTGTGTGCGTGTGCCTGTGTGTTCGCACTTTTTGTCACCCGCTTTCAATTCTAGAACCAGAAAAGCTATAAAGCTGAAAATTCGGGAATG